AAATTTAAATTTTTAAAGTTAATGTCAAAACCTTCTTCCACATCAAATACATGAATCGATGCAGTTTTAGCTACTCTTTAGATGGAGATATTGCACGAGACTATTAGATGCAGTTTTGACATTGAAAAGTTAAAGTGTGTGTAAAAGTTCTAAGTACGCAAATACGAATCAAATTGGTGTGTTTTTTCTAGGTGGGTAAAAGTCTTTCTATATTCGCAGGTGTGTAAATTTGCTAGTATGCTTCTGGCGCATCACACCGTGCATTTCTAGATGTGGAAATGCGACTCAAAGTGACGTGCAAGTTCAGTGTGTTTTGGGCACACTTTATTTTTACAGTGTGGTTTCCACTACGCTCCTTCGTCAAAATGTTCACATAGTATACATTTATTAACGCGCTAGATATACAATAGATGATTTGATTAAACCAAAGACATCTAGATGTATGCAGCGAGATATTGACCTATCTAACTGCAGCGTTGGAATAAATGTATTAATTAAAACTTTGACTTCTTGGTGCACGGATAATGGTAACTACGTATATCATGAGGGGTATTAAGTCATCTACTTGTATTTGAGAGGACGATTGAGTCATGTATCGAGTGAAACATAGACATCTAAATGCATGGAGCACTGTACTGAAATAAATGTATTTATTGAAACATTGACATATCCGTGCATTGACAATGATATCCAGACGTATCAGAGTCATTAAGTCAGCTAGAACCATGGGCCACTTCATTGACACTAAATACATTGTTCATATCATTGCTCATATAGATGCATGGGTAATGTTACGTCGTTATATCGAGAAAAACATTTATCTGTATTTAGATGCATCTGGATGGATCCATATTTGTCTAGATACAACGTGCGATGGCTCGATGGTTTTCTTTTTGCACATTTAGATGCATCGACAAGTGAATTGACGAATCTAGATACATCGGGCGATACTCCATGCTTTTTCTGTGTTTGGGATAATTGAACCGAAAATAAATATGAGTCTATTTTTTGTAAAAATCTGAAATGAAAGCCTGTAAAACAATCATTTTTAATTTCAATATAATTACATAAAATTTTTCATTTATTAAAAAGAACAATTTAGTCAACAAAGCTGTTATTGATTAATAATGATGCTTTTGCTCTATTGTTAGGTTTCCTCTAAGACTATTACACAAAATAATTTTCTACTTTTGTATCCTTTCAGAAAAATATAAAAGTAGAAGAATTTTTATCTAAAGTTTTATGAAGAGTTTCTTATTGCCCGGATAGTTTCATATTTTAGAGAAAACTTTGCTTAAGATTTTCTGAAATAATTACTTTCTGTTGAGTTCAGAGAAAAGGTATCGATTTTTTGAAACGTTTTATGTTTCTATCAATTCACGCGAATATATAATTATATTCGACATGGCATCAAAAAGCGTTAGCGTGGCATCGTGTGATAGTTTTCAAAGAAAAGAAAATACATTACTTTACGGGAACAAGCCCAGGGAATTCTAGTTGTTGACAGAAGTATAAAAACATTGAATGTCCATTTGTTTAGTTCTTTTGCAATTTGCAAAGATGGCAACGATAACAATGAAACCAAGTTTCAAAGCGTATGTTGAATATTTGTTTTCTATAAACAGACTAGAAGTTTCCTGATCAAGCCAAAAATCAAGCTTAATCGTTGAAATCATTGTCGAACGATTTATATACCGATAGTGTTCGATTGATCTACGAGTTGATACAATACAGACACATCTCACTTCAACATTTATTTACTCTACGGGTCTCACCTTTTTCTAACGCCTTTTTAAACCTATTTCGAATGTGCAGAATTTTTATCTTTATCTTAAAGTTAGGCGAATTTGAAAGATATGTTTTATCTCTATGTTCCGCTTTCATTGTTTTAATTTAGTGCAAAATATAACAAGGGATCGTGATTTTCAGACAAGCCAAAAAGAGAAATAGGCATATGAATGTCTCAAAAAAGGACTAGAATAAGAAAAACTACAACTATTTTACTTGGCAACAAATGCATTCAAAAAGGCTTTACCTAGAAATCAAACTTTAGAAACAAAAATGCACGAAGAGACTCTGTCGTGACACTACTTTTATACTTAATTTAAGAAGGAGAATACAAAAATAATAAATATTACCTGTTTATCGAATTGTTCATGAGATAATATCTCGAAAGAGAGGCACGTATAACTCAATATTTTTAATTTTTCAATGTCAAATTGCATCTAATAGTCTCGTGCAATATCTCCATCTAAAGAGTAGCTAAAACTGCATCGATTCATGTATTTGATGTGGAAGAAGGTTTTGACATTAACTTTAAAAATTTAAATTTAAAACTTTTTCGAGTTTTCGAAAATTCTAAATTTTATTTTTAATTTAAAATTTTCAAAAGTCATTTTCAAATCTTCCATAGGTTTCAATAATGGCTTTTTGTAGAGTGCATCCTTTTGTACAAGATACGATATATTCCAAAGCTCGCAACAGGTCGCAATGCGGTGAAATTTCGGAACCAAACATACATGGTAGATGGAAAAGACGGAAAAAAATGATGACGTATTTTCAAATTTTAGCATTGAAGATAGATGTTCAAGGAAACAAGGAGGTCATATTCCAAATCAGTATCAAAAATTACATCAAATGATGTGTTTTCGAACGTTTTCTTAAATGCTTTACAATGCCTAAAAATCGTTTTTTCCCGTTTTTCGCGTAAGAAATGGGGGTTTTAATAGTCGGTGCGGCATATTCAAACTTACCAAACCAATTTTTTTCCGATAATTTATACAATAGTTTGATAGAGTTCGTCGAGCTGACTAGGAATTTGTGCCTGGACGATCCGGTTTTACGTCTCAAATCACTATTTTTTGAAAAATATCGATTTTGTAAGTTTTGTTTTCATTTTTTGAGCTTTTAAGTGCGTTTCTTTCTTATTCTCTATATGAAACTGTATATGAAAATAACTTACTTCTGCTCCACAGGCAATTCAAGATGATCAAAACGTTTTTGGTACAAAGAAGCGAAACGAAAGGAGAGGCTTTTTTGCTTGTAAATCTGTTCAGTTTCTTCTGGTAATGATTGTAGCCAAATTTGAAACTCGATTAGAACCGGTGTCTGATGAGCAACAAAAGTATGTATTGCTTTTACTCTGAGTTTGCTTTGTTGCTGAGAAAAATGATTTTTACTATATCGAAATCTTGTCCACAATTTTTGACTTTCTCTACCAGAATTTTATTTTTACGCATAACCAATCTCATATTCGAAATCAGCGTTAAAACCGAGCCGACTGACATACGTTTCAAAATTTCTAATTGACTTTCAGTTTTTGTTGAAAATCTGCGTGACCGAAAGCTAATTTTAAACAGTACATGTACTTTCGACAGACTTTTCTTAAAAACATGCTTTTTTTCTTTAAATAATACTGTAATCAATAAGGGCCTTCAATGGACGATAAATAGTTGCTTGACTTCTAATGTGATTAGATTTACAAAGCATACATTCATCATCTACGCCATTTTCACTGCGCTTTTTCAATGGTTGCTGCATGGCCCATTTTATCTTCCAATCTCTTATCCACTAAGTTATTGTGATACTCTGATAAAGCATTAAATTCACTAATAGACATTTGTGTCGATAAATATCATAAAAAACACCCCCAAGATCGCTACTGCATGTATGTAGCAAAACACAAATTTAAAAGTATTTCAGGTTTTTACACTTTTCCAAGCTTATCGATTTTGTATGTCATATGTTGTAGAGATAGACGAACGAAACAAAATACCTTTTTCACCAATTGATAGCTCATGAAGTTTACTACAAAAAATATTCTTAAAGTTTTTTACTTCCACGCTTTCTTTATTTTCTGCAATCGTTCGACAAATGGGTAAAAATGACTCAAGGAGTTCAAATGTAAAGGATTAATTTGAAATTAAAAGAGGTATTTAAAATCCATGAAAGTTAGCTACAAATTGAGACATTATTAAAAAAGACTTATTTAATATTGAAAGTTGATGATTATGAAGCAAGTTCTTATGTGTATAACACTAAAAAGAGAGAAAAAGGAGAACATTTTGTTGTCCACGAAGGAATAATAAGTTAATCTATCAGAATTTGTTTTTGCAATACGTTTTCCAAATTGCGTTTCATTTTACTCTGATGCTACCCTCTACGCCGTTTGGGAGAGAATATATATTTTAATTTATAAAAATAAAAGATATTATCGGCAACTGATTTCGTTTTGTCCTTGTGCTAGTCGTTTAATTAAGAGTAAATAACATGAATAATAATCAATTTATTCGATTCTATTCCCAAATTCATATGAATCATTCGTTAGATGCAAATGTGAGAGGAATACGTAAAAGAGTATTGAATTCTTTCACCCAGTCAACAGATATACGAGCATGGATACGGCCTTGACGACCAAATAAAGAGACTGGAGAGTGAGATGGATGTACATAAACAGCATTATGCCATACACCAGGATAAATGTATAAACCGTAACCCTCACTTACATAAAATGCAGTGAAATGATCAGGTGTAATATCATCACCGATAGGTGGAGCCAAATTGGAAATGAATGGTTTATCATTAGTGGGAAAGAACAACTGGCCACCATCAGGATGATAATCAGAATACCAAATGAGAACAGATGAAATATCCGATGGTTTACTTCTGTTTGAACTAGATGGTAAGTCTCCATATCCAAGTAAATAATGATTAGAATCAGTGGCAATGGCATGATTTTTGCCATACAATCGATCACCTTCCTAATAAATATCCATAGATCCTTCAGTCGTTCCAGCTTCGTTTCCCGTGTTTGGATCAAGTGACCTCCATCCTTTTGTAGGCCAAGGAACGATATCAAATTTGCCGTTTTCTACAGTGACATCATCTGGAGAAGTGATCAAGAAGCCAATATCCTTTAACGATTCGTTTGTTGCTTTTATTAGGGGTATATCTTTCACCTTTACATCAGGAGGAATAATTCGATTTAAATATTTTTCTTTACTGATCCCACTCATTTTATCTAAATAAAAAACAACAAAGGAATTATAAAATGTGTATGCAGATAAACACTTTGTTTACTAATGTGAAATTATAAAAACTTAATTTCTTAACACTTCTCGACTCGAGCTCTTTCCAAAAAAAGACTTTTACCAAGAGTTTTTTTCGAGTACAGAAAATCAGCTTGAATAACGTTTATCAAAATGAATGAAAAAAATATATTGACACAATAATTGTTACTATGGATTTC